CAACCATTAGATCCCGGCCGTGAAAGCCTTCATGAATATAGTAGGAAAAAAACCTTATGAGACCCATTAATTAATCTTTCAGTTTGCAAGACCTGAGCAGGACTATTAAGGATGGCAGCTTTTGGAGATCATTAATTAAGTGTGCTGCCCTAAATCAAGGACCATTTGATGGCACAAAATAACAGCAAAAAGAAAGAATGAGACATGAATGTGGCATATCTATTTGATCATTTAAGAGCTCCTGTTTGCACATAGCATTAGCCTACAAATAATCTTTTAATCTTAGAATTTCAGGTCTGTACGTGACCCTATGGATCATCGAGTCCAGCCCCTGTCAGTGAGGCACAATGGAGAACACAACTCCCAGGTGCCAACACCACTGTGCTATCCAGCATTTCGGTCCATAGTCAAGATGGCTACACATCACCTTCAGCATCAGCATGCCTCTGTAGATCAATTGCTGGGGATCGCAAGAGTGAGGGTCATATTGCCCTAATGTCCTGCCTGTGGGTTTCTCATATACATTTGATGGGTCAAAAAACTGGTGACCAGGAAAGGTGGCGACTAATGTGTAGCAAAGGCCACACATTAGCCACAGCAGAACAGCTTTGCTCACTGTGGCACCCTCTGGATGTACTAAATAAACCATAACTTCCATCATCATTAATCAACACTGCTTGGCTGTGCTAGCTGGGAATGATGGCAACTGCAGTCAAACACAACTGAGAGGTGTTGAGTTTGGTGGGACTAACACTTGTCTTGTGTAGAATTCAAAACCCCATTTTACCTTCCTGTCAGTCTGACTGTGAGAGCAAATGGTCCTCACATCTGGCCCAGTGTTTGGACTTCCTGCTTGAACCCAAATTTTATACTTTTGTCTGATGAACATTTCCCATGGAACTCAAAAGCTTGCCTTATTTGCAAACTTTTAGTGATCCTGTAAAGATGTTTACTAACCCAGAATTTTCCTTACAGAAATGAGTAACAGGAAAACATGCTCTAGAAAAGAGATAATGTGGCAGACCTAGAAAACTACAGTCCAAACCATTATGCAATCTGTTGTTTCCCATCCTCAGTCACCCATCCGTAATATAATAAACCAGTGTCCTTTATAGAGCCATTGTATGAATAACGTATGTGGAGCACATGGCATGTTTATGAAAAGGCCCATGTGAACTATTGTTTCGAAGCCTCTCAGAAGAGACTTTTTTCCAGGATATAATGGCTGGCAAAGTAAGAAAGGGTTCTGTGTCACCTTGAAAACTCACTCATAAGTACTTACTCGGTGAAAACCTGGCTCAGCTTGCCCTGTCAACTCTGTAAACCAATTCATTGCCGTTGACCCTGAATGCTGATTTCCACAGCTACCCCAGGGAAGCTTGAAATGTTCAGACCTGTAGATCAAGTGCTGTCCTTCCCTGTGAGAAAGTGGCTCCAAGATGTAACTGAGGTTCTTGCTCAGTATTATAAGGCCTCTGAAAAACAGTATCAGTAAAAGAGAAGTAGTAGAAAGCAACTATTTGTTCTTGAGTATTCCAAAGTTAAAGTTAGTTATCTTCCTATTAATCAATATACAATTCACTTTGCATTCAGTTTGCATGTTATCCTGATTCGGTTCCAACTTCACTTCATGTTCATCAGAGTTTGGAATGTTTTATATTTATATTTGTATTGTAATTGCAATTAATTTCTACAGCTACCAAAATCCCCCCAGCTGGCATGCTAGGAGTTTGTGGGAATTGTACTTTTAAAAAAAGTTTCCGAGCTGTGTAATGCAGAACAACAGAAGAATTGTCTTTCTCTTGTCAGTCAGACTATGCTTGTGAAATATTGGCCAAAATCCTATTAACAATTTACATTTGTGTAAGAGAAACTGCCTAAGTCCTGGTGGCAAATTGCTGCTGATTAAAAAGGTACTGGGATTCCCAGTGTGGTGTAGAGGATACAGTGGAGGACTAAAACTCTGCTGAACAGAGTTTAAATCCCTGCTCAGCCATTGAAACTGACTGGGGGATTGGAACCAGTAAAACCACTCATTAAATGGCTCACTTGCTTTGAAATCCCTATTAAGGTTGCTATAAATTGACTTCATGGCACAAAACACACGCAATAAGGTACTGGTTGCATTTCTGGGCATGCACCCAATTAAACCACTGGTCTCATGCCCAGGAACACAACCAGTACTTTGTTAATAGTAGCAATTTGCTGCTAAAACCAACAAGATTTCCCACGCACCAATATAACTCAGAGAAAGGACTCTGGTCATTGAGTCAGAATCTAAATTATCCCTTAAACCAGCCATTGCCACCTGATGGTCTCAGATGTATTTAGACTACAAGTCCTATCATCCATAGATGGCATGCTAGTTGGGGATTATGGTGAGTATTTTGGAACACACCCCAAGAGTACCTGGGTAAGGAAAGCTGTCAGAACTCCCTAGATTTAAAGTAGCACCTCCTGATTATTCTGCTTGTTGTCATTGTGGGATTTAATCCTCAGACCAGAGAAAGCCCTTGAAAAGGGAAACATTATTTTCTCAGGGTTTTTCTCCACTGAAAGTAGAAAGGCAGCTGTATTTATTTGTGGACCAGCAAAAGCTGTGCACTCAGTTACACACAACAAAGCCCCAAATGCTATGGGCTTAGTCCAATTGTTATATGTTTGTTTGTTTATTTGTTTATTATTTCAGTTTGTTTACTACCCCATAGTGCAGATACTCTCTGGACAGTTCACAACATGTTAAAAGTACATATAAATTACAACAAATACCCACCAATAAATACATAAAATAGATAAGTGTTAGTGCCCACTAAAGCAGACTTATTGAATCAATCACACCTATATAAGTATTAACAAATTTTATTCATTTAAAAGGCTTCCTGTAGTTGATAATAAAAATGGATTTAGCTCTATGTATTTCTGGACCTTGTCTATTATATAGTCATACCTTTGTCTCATTTTTTAAAAAGCTATCCTTCTGCCCTATTGGCACTGAACAAGCGTTTGTTATTTCTGTCCTGCAGGTGCTATGGAAACCGTAGCCATAATTACAGTCAGTTTCTCTTTTCTGTTCTGTTCTTTCTTTTTCTTTCTTTCTTTTGGTGTGGCTTACACACAAGGCTTTCTGCTTGTAGTGATAAAAAAATTAGTGCCATGAGACAGCTTAAAATTTAGCAAATCCTTTTAACAGAAAATTTTAGCACGCTGGGCTAAAGTCTGGATTCTAGGGAAGGAGTACAGTTAGCAGAAAATGGGAAGCAGTAAATGGACTATAATGAATTTGGGCCTTACAGCTGTAAAACTTAGATATATATAAAAATACAAAAGCAATGGAACAGTCAAGAGAAAGAGATGCCAACTGGTGACACACATCTGGCTTTGATTCTCCTGGTAGCTAGCCAACAAGACTATCTGGCTTTGTAGAACAGTTCTTAGGGGACTGAATTTAAGTATAGTATGTTATGTATAGAAACTAAAGGAAAAGGAATGAGCTATGGACGGAACATCATGCTGATCCTTGGAGTGCTTTACAAAGGTAGAAGTCAGGCAAGCTACCCATCTGCTGTGGAAAATGAGTGTGCTATTTCAGTTTAGTCTCTTTTTTGGGCGGCAGTGGGGGGTGGGGAAGACTTTCTAAGCTTCCAGTGTAACACAACTTCAAGCCAACTGAGAGCCATTCTGAAGCTGTGCATTTTTGTTTGGACAGCTGCCCCTCTTTAGTCAGGCACTTCTCTGCATTTTCAGTAATAAATAGCAATTCTTATGGGCCTTCAGTTACATGAGAGAGCTCTTTGTAAGATTCCCATCACATTGTTTCCATGTGTGCGCGTATCTACTATCTATTGTGCATATATGTGTGGGGTGCACACACACGCATGCACACACACCACATATATATACATCATGGATACCAGATATGAAATACATAGATACCAAAAATACGATTTCCTCAAAACCAAGGACATATTTGGGCATTCTGAATTTTGACACCACTACATTATTCACATTGCTCTACCTCATAAGGCCTTCAGAGTTTTGACTTGAAAGCAATGCCAGTTACATATTGAAGTTAGAACAAAGGAGGAATTGGGTAAGAAGAGAAGGTTGTTAAAATGGCACAATGTTCAAGGCACAGCAAGTTTGTATCTCACTGCTACAGGAAATGAAGAAACAAAGATTGCAGCTATAAGAGAATGACTTTAGAATCAAATAGTTATATTCACAGGAAGTGCAAAACATAAGCAGAGCCTCGCATATTAGCTTGCCTAACAGGTGTTCAAAAATAATATTCGGTGTTTGAAGACTATTTACTTACTAAACAAACAGAATCTCAACTGAAATCAGGGGTTGTGTGCTCTTATTTGGAGCCTGATACAATCCAATTCTTTTGGTTGTGACTTTGCTTAAATATAAACTGCAGACAGTTTAGGTTGTAAGATTACTAGTTCACACTGGGGTGAGTGACAATGGAGGCTGTCAATTAATTAATAATAGCTGAATTTAACCAAGCGGAAAACTGGTTGTAGTTTATCTGGTTTTTCATCATATCTTCCTGTCACTTTTTCAGTCATGAGAGAGTGGTGCACAGCAAAGAGTATGCACACAGAGAGGGGACATATTTACAGTAGAAAGTGAAGCAACACAAGTCCAAGTGAGACGACAGAACTCTTGGAAAAGCTCATATCTCACAGAGAATAGAATAGTTATATGTGAATTGGTATATATAGTATCGTTTGACTGAGTTACATTTTTTTAAAAGTTGGGGAACATTTTCTCTGATGTGTTTGTTATGAGCACATGGTAGAGAGCAAAGAGGGATCTCTAGGTGTAGACCCTTTTTCACCTGCTCCTCCTTTCAGGAAGTAGAAATACGTGCAAGGGCTTACCGTTTGAATACTTCCAGTTATCCAAAAATACTTAAGATATCACAGCAATGTCAGGGGTATTGGCCAGAGAATAACTCTACTATAAATGAAAATTGAGCTTGAGATGGTAACTTTGCATCTAAGGATAAACAACCGGAAAAAGGGGACTTATAAGCAGGTCAGGTTGCACCTGCGATGCTTCCTATTTTGTTTGGGCCACACATATTACATCAGCCATAAATGGCCAGCTTTTACTTTGTTTATATTACTGCACTGTTTTGTGTCTGTGTTTTTTTTAAGCAACCGGAGTTCATTGAAGGATTAAGGAAAAAAAGTTTGGCAAAACTGTTTCCTGACTGGACAGAAGCCCAGCTTTCAAATGGCTTTGAATAAAGGTGACCAAAAGGGAAAAAAACGTCCTGTTTATAAAAACACTGTCTTAAATTTATTAGTTTTGGAGGTCAAATTGTCCTCATAGCAAGCAAATGTGTACACGTCTACACAACGGATTCATATCTAACCAGGAATACAGTATTGTAGAATTTCCATCACTGCAGGGGCTAAATAGCTGACAGAAAAGAAAAGAAAAGAAAAATTGTTAGAATAGGTATAAGTGTTAGCGCCAAAAATATGGAAGGAAAATACAGAAACTGTTCTTAGGAAGCAGAAAAAATTAAGAATGAATTAAAACTAATTATCCTGAAGCAAGTGAAGATTTCAGTGGTTCAGTGACAGAGAGACATTGTTTTTCATGCAGAATAGCGCTGAGAAAGACTGCCGTCTGAAATCCTGGAACACCTCTGCCAGTCCATGTAGACAATAGGGGAGGAGTAGATTTTTCTTAGGTTTGTGTTTTGAGTAGAATTTGCCAATTTTACACTCCACCAATCGATATTTAAACAGGAACAAGCTTTCACATTTGCACCGGTCAAGATTTTGTAATACAGTTCAGTGAAGACAAATATATGGGAAAATGTATATGTTAGAGCAGGGATCAGGGAACTTTTTTACCTTTTACCCCCCCAAAAAATTTATATACGCCGACATTACCCACTTGATTTGAAAGTAAAGAAATCATACATTATTTGAATTCAAAATCTTATTGAATCTATTCAAAATTACTTTGAAAACTTCAACTGACTTGAAAACTTCAGGTTTTGGAGAAATGATGTTGCTTCATATTGGATATGAGAGCATCAATATTGGGGCTCTGCTCATCCTCATTACCCCCAGGATTTTCATTTTTACCCCATTTGGGGTAATTTACCCCTGTTCTCTGACCACTGTGTTAGAGGGAAAATATATATGTTATAATATATATTTTTTGTTAGAGGGAAAATATATATGTTATAATATTTTTTTTTTAAAAAGAGCAGTATAGAATGGAATCTTTGTGATTTTATTGCATGTTATTTCTCCATTACTTTTAAATATTTTGTAAGGTAGCATTATTGAACACATTCATATATGTGGGTTTATGTCACAAATATTCCATTCTATACTGCTCTTTTTAAAAATATATTATGTATGTATGTATGTATGTATGTATGTATGTATGTATGTATGTATGTATGCATGCATGCATGCATGCATGCATGCATGCATGCATGTATATGCGTGTATATACACATATACATATGTATTTACATATACACATACATATATACTACACACACACACACACACACACACACAACTGAAAACTGTATCAAATTAGTATATATGTGCATACCAAAGTGTGTATATAAGGAAAAATATACCCATAATACATATACATTTTCACACCAATTTTTTAAAAATCACTAATGTGTGGAAACAGGATAGCAAAAAACATGAAATAGCAAAAAAAAAAAAAAGGAAATATGGTAATAAAAAAATGAAGACTGGAAAAACAAAGACACAAAAGCAGAACTGAGTTAGACAAATTCCCTCCCTATTAAATAATACTAAACTACATAGGCCAGTCTTCTAACTCCGTAAAGGCCCGTTCCTATGTTCCTGATTTCTAGGTCTATTGCCAGTGAGCTTACTATTTATGGAACAACACAAATTAATTAGAAAACAAAGAACATAGAGTCCTACAATCATGGGGTTGGAAATGGGCCTATAAGGCCATTGAGTCTAAAATCCTGTTCAGTGCTTGGAATCCAAGTCAAAGTAGACCTCATAGATGGTTGTCTAAATAACATTAGACATTAATAAGAAAAAGAAAAAGAAGCGCAAAAACGCAATGACCAAACAAACAAACAAATTCGCAACATAAGACTAACTCCTTTGGGATGTAAAAGTCTAGGTTTCTTTACTGATGCCTCTCACTATGCCCAAGTAGATGGCACATAAGAACTAGCCTGTCATAACTGCTGAATGATATAATTAAACTACTAGCCATAATTCTTTCTAGTAATACTGTATTGAACAACAAAGCCGTAAGGATGTTCATGAAAATTCAGATTGATTTCTTTTAAATATATATATACCCCACCTTCCTCCTCAAGAGGAGGGGGGAAAGTTTGAAATTATGTAAGGAGGAGTTTGCACCTTACCGTAGACCATTGCATGTGCTGAGGGCCACACTTGAGTCTTCCATCCCTCTTACTACACCATGATAAAAGCAGTGATCCTGAGGACGACAAAGCATAGATAATTAAGGGAAGATATTCTGCAGATTCATTAATCCTCTTCCCCTTTGTTTCCTCCCATTATGTTGGAATCAAATCCAATACTATTCAAGAACAACCCAACAAAGCCACTGATCCTACCATGGCCTTCCTAAGCCTTCAGGAATATGGAATTCTTTCAATAACCTACATTCATCTTAGATTACCAGAGTTTGGAAATAAATAGATACATATAAATGCTTTCCTGAAAAACCTGGGAGACCTTAATTGAAGCCCCCATTCAGCCATATGTTTTCTAACCAGGGATGGGGAAGAAGTGTTGCTCAGATTTTCTGCCTCAGATTTGTGCACTAAGTACCTGGATGGGTGGGGAGCAAAATTTGCTGCCCCAGGCTTGGCAGCAAAATTTCCTGGGACGAGACTACCATGTTCACAGTACTAGTGAAAATGACTGCTTCGAAGTCCCAGGCTTGGCAGCAAAATTTCCTGGGACAAGACTACCATGTTCGCAGTACTAGTGAAAATGACTGCTTCAAAGTTTGAAGCACAAGGACAAAATTCAATGCACAATGAGGTAAGTAAAAACTATAGGCGGGATATAAATAAAATGAATAAAAAAAATAAATTAAATTAAGCACAAGGACAAAATTCATTGCACAATGAGGTAAGTAAAAACATTGCTGTTGAGCCCACATGGCTCTGAGTACAAAACTGCCTTCCACATCTTTGACAAAAACACAGCAAGACAGTGGCTGTAATAAGAGAAACATCAATAATCTGTGACTGTAACTGTGTTTTTAGATAGGTCATTATATACGTTACTGATCCCCCTGAGCTCTGTCAAAGAAAGATGCAATGCAACTTGACTGAATGAGTAGATGAGTGAATGAATACTGTACTGCAGTCATCTTTCTAGAGAAGCCTTATGCTGAAAGGAGGAGGAGAAGAAGCAGCATGAAGAGACATGATCTCAGCCTTCACAATCTTTCATTTTCAAAAATCAATGTAACTAGCTATGTGCATTTTTATGCCATTTCAGTGAAGTGCCAACCAGTCAAGGCATTTCCAGTCAGTTAGCTCATCAAGAACATCCTGCTGGACACAAGCCAACTGGCACACTCCAACTTGGTAAACCACTGAGAGTTTAACAACCATTCAGATCTCTCTTAGTAGAGGGCAAGAGTAGAGCAGGCCATTCAAGGGTATCTCATTTTATAATCTCAGGCATTTACACAGTAGATCTCTGCCCTTCCCTAGCGAAGCAAAAGCCATTCTATTTTGTGCACACATGGACACATGCTTTCAAGGCCTGGGATTTGTTGTGGAAAAACAAAAGCAATGGGTGTGATATGTCATAAGGTTGCAGTGGATTTCAAAATTATTAGTGAACATGTGCCATAGTTCCTTATTATACACATAGAAAAAACAACGTCCAATCACATTAAACAAAACATCTGTGCAATTTGGCTAGGTAAAAACTTCTGAGTGTCTCTTTATATCTTTAAAGGTTAAGAAATGAATTTAATTTTATATATTCCTTTGGCCCTCATATTAGATTTTCATTTTTTTCAGTCATCCCAAGGTCTCAAACATTCATTCATACTGGGTCCTACATGGTACCAGAAGGATTATGTTGACCGGGGAACAAAAGAGAAACCCCGTGGTACTTACTGTGTTGTTCAAAGTGAAAGTCTGGGGAGTTCCATTTTGGCTATAATGGGTTTCGGTGTAGCTTGGTGCAAAAAGGTGCCTGCCAGCAGCAAGAGGAAACCGGGATGAGAGAAAATGAGAGAGAGAGGATTATTTTTAAAACCTTATTTTCTAAAATATCAGGCAAAAAGCAAAAGAAAAAGATCAAAGAAAAAAACATTGTGACAACTTAAAGACTAACTGCTATATTTTAATGTGAGTTTTTGTGGACAAGTTCACTTCCTCAGACTGATATAGTAGCACAGACTAACACAATGTTTTCTTCTAAAATTAATATCTAAATTACTATTTGCATGAGAACATCTGGCAATCATATCTCAACTTGCCCTGATACCTTTGAAATAAAATGTTTTTGAAGGAAAACAGCTAGTTAATTTGTGCAGAATATAGGTTGTGCCCACCTAAGGTTGTACCCACAAAAATATACCTTTTAGCAGCTTGAAGAAGATTATACTGAAGGGAGGTAAAATCCTGCCATTAAGCTCTATAAAGGTCATCTCTCAAAGATCTATACCTCCCAGAGAACCCTAGGGCTCGCAGGTAATACTTTTTTTATTGAATAAGAAGCTAGATCAGAGTTAGATCATGGAGCCTTTGAGCTCGTAGGCCTTTCTCCTGGTGAATGAAAGGTAGGTGTGTTCATAGGTTTCTGTTGGTGCAAGTATGTGGACTAGATCTCCCAGAAATCTGTCTGGAGGATTCTTGGAAAATTCTGGGAATTGGAATCTAATAAATTCATAAAAGCCAGCATTGGACATATATATGTGGGTCCTTGTAGGAAGCAGCAGCAGGGCCCTGAACATCACACCTGCTGCAGGCCCCACAATGGCCCTGCAAAGTTGACCGTGTGGTAAAATGAAGGAAGGAACTCTTTCTGCTAGCCTTGGCTCAATATGACTCAGGAGACATTCTAAGGCTAACAATGTCCCCCCTCTTCACTCCCTTCATACTTTGTATTGGGGACACCTTAAATAAGTCACTTGCTTGCAGCCACAAGTACTCCATTGACAGGCAAAGGAGTCCTACTAAGATTCAGGGGGAAATCCAAAGGCAGAAGCACTGAATTATTCAAGGTCCTGCTTTCCAAAAGTATATAATATCTGGAGGAGCAACATGATTAAAATAGATTAACTCTTCCAGTATGGGTGTTCAGTTGCACAAATGCAAATATGATTTACAATACGAATGTTGCACAGATGGTTGTTAAGTTGAGTAGTACCGTTGTTTGTAAATTAAGTGACTCCAAGTTCTATTGTAATGAGAATTCTCTTTTAACTCCTCTTTCCCTGCTATTCTTGGTTCTACAACTGCCACCACATTTCTTTTGGACATTTATAAACAAAGCTGAATTACAGTCTGGTTCTTAAGCCCAGGTTAACAGGAAGAAAACGGAAGTATATTTAGGACATATATCTGTAGAATGGAGTGTAAGAAAATGAATAATCTTTATCTTTGCCAAGAGAATCTGGGAAATGAACCTGTGGGAATGAGAGTTAGGTTTCCATAATGGAATGTTCAGCATCTTCAGTAAACTACAATATCCAGGATTCTTTGGGGAAACCTATAATGCTTAAACTATTATTACATGGACATATTTGTAATATAGATATATCCCAAATGAAAGAGGGAGAAAAAAAGTACTAATCCACACACCCAGGCTAGCTGACATAAGCTAAGTGCTTGAGCATAATGTGAAATCTTTGGCCTTCGTAGACAAGGATTTGTCAAGGGAGAAGTAGAACAGGGTCATTCCAGTGCTGACCATAAAATCATTTTTCTCCCATGTGGTACAGGGATTAATTTCAAGAAATCATCCTTCTCCACATAATAGATCATCTCTCATACAAACCACCCTTACCTTATCCAAATTCCCTATGTTTTTCTCTCTGTAACACTGAGGTTTTCTATCAGCTCCCTTGAACTTCATTTTTACTCAAGCATTCTCTGATATTCCTCAATTCCTTGATATCCCTCAATGAATGAGTAGCCACTGAGTTACAGTTTATGCCTCAGTAAATGCACAATGCTACTGAGGGCAATATATGCTTAATAAATATTGTTTATATATTCCCTTCATTGTTATCTTTCCCTCCATTTCCCTGTATTGTTTCCTACCCTACAATGTCATGCTTCAGACTACAAAAGAAGCAGGATGTAATGGGATTATTTACAGCAAACAAACAAAACTTTTCAATCAACATTTGACTCCATTAACACAAACGTAATACTACGGTAAACTAGAAGAAGTAACAAATTTTGCAATGGTTAGAAGAAACCTATTAGTTTCCTTTTCCTTATCTTCTTTCTTTCTATGTCTCTCTGCACTACTCTTCTCTCCCCTTGTCTCTGCTCCTTTTTTGAAAGTCCCTCCTGGTCTGTCTTCTCTGTCCCTCTCAATGCTTTTTCAGCATTTCAGTTTACTTACTCTCCCCACCTCCCCTTTATCTAGAAGCAGGAATTTTCTCTCTGTTGTTCTCTCTCCTTGCTAAGTTTGAAGAACTGGGGAGCTGCAAATGGAAGCATTACATGGGGGTACATCGAGGCCCTCCAATGATAACCATATACCAGGCCTCCCTTTGCTTCTAAGGAAGGTTATGGGCATCTGTCACTTAGTGACTAAACATAATGTTGCAGGCTGCAAGCACATCTAATTAATAAACGAGTATTAAACCTTTTAAACACAAAATGGTGTAGAAAGGGTCTGTTTAGATTCTGTGCCAAGTTTCACATGTTTAAATTTTACCATTTGGAGCTACAGAAGATACAGCAACACAGACACATGTTGTCTGTTATTGTAAACAAGACTGGCTTCAGAAGATGACAAGACTGGTCCCAATAGCTAGAAGAAAGCATATCACTCTCACCATGCTATCATCTCTACTTCGTACAGAGCATCCAAAGACATCAAATGCATCTTGAAAGAATTCTCAGTTTACTCGTATATGCCTTGCCTTGACCTACTGAGTCCACCATTCTCCAGGGCCTGCAATATCCTGACACTTGAACTGAATGCAACAAACAGATATCAACAGGTCTAACCCTTCTTGTATGTGTGCATTGTATTCAATTAATGACATTACTGTTATGGCTGAATTATACACACTTTCATACTATAAATCAGCCATTCTCAACTAGAGATGAGCAAGAATCTTGGTTCAGAGGTCCATGCTGATTCATACACATGGCACCATATGTGGCGCATGTTCCCTTCCTCTGCCTCCCCAGCTATATTCTCTACTCACAAGCCCATGGACTCCTCTTCTCCAGCTGTTTGATCAGTTAAAAGCAGGAGCATGGGTTCCACTGCCCTGCTTCCTTGGTTGTTCGCCCACTCAGACAAGGAGGAAGGAGAGGCAAATCCATCCTCCTGCCAGGAATTGGCCAAACAGCTGAAGGGGAGGAGGAGGAGGAGAGAAGCATGTGCTGGCTGGTGAGTGGGTAATTGTCAAGGGAGGTGGAGGAAGAGAACCCACAGTACCTATGATGCCATGTGTACGGAAGAGAACCCACAGTACCTATGATGCCGTGTGTACAAACCAGCATGAACCTATGAACCAAGGTTTGTGCCCATCTCTGTTCTCAACCATTTTTTGGGCTTGGCCATAAACACAAAAAACTGTAAAAGAAATATAGGCTGAATCAGGATTGTATAAGTCTCATGGCGGTATGTGAAAAAATGTTTTCAGTCTGTTGCCCTTTTCAATCAGGCCAGGGCCCCCCAGGGGGGCATCTGCCTCTCCATTGAGAATAGCTGATTGTAAACCAACAGCAAACTTTCTAGACTACAAAAGCAAAAACAGACATGTAGTTGCAATGCATTCCATCAGGTGATGTGTCATTTACAAAAGCAAGAAAAAAGTATGAACATAAAGTAAAAAACCCAATGACCTTATTTCACAAATTCCCTTAATTGTTAGGGCACCACATTTACCATTAATACAGTAAATGTTTCTGAATGTGGTTAATGAGTGTGGGCAAGGTGATGATGGCCTTCACTAATTATGGATGCAGTCAATGTGTATGATCAGATAAACAACCACCTGAGACAGGGTGAGTCACATATTGTAGTATTTCCCTGGTAACAGAACATGTTCTAATTTCAGCTGGGACTAGAGGCCTGTACTGTATTAGCCTCTAGAATGGCTGTTATTGTGTCAGGAAGTCTCATGATACAGCCCAAAGCTGCATATATTCCATCGAAACTTAGTTATCATACTGCATGGAATACTGTTGTCTTTAAATTACCTGGCCTTCCCTTTTGTTGTATTCTGTTTGTCTGTCTGTTTCTTTGCTTTAAGTAGCCCTCTCTAGTCCAGGACTAATTTGTTCAAAATTTATTGCCAAGGCTATGGCGTTAAAACAAGGAAGAAAAAATACCTTAATAACTACAAAACCACTAAAATAAAAACAAAGTAAAAAGAATACTAAAGAAATCCTTGTGGAAGACCTAACATTTTAAATAATGCAAAGTAGAAGTATTTAATGAAATGGAAATCTAACACCACATGACTACCAATACATTTCTGGTGGAAACTGACTAATGGAAGCACAATAGATTTTTTTATATACAAATTTGATAAATTTGAACTTGATAAATGAGAAGGACATGGAGAGCCTCTTTTCTCAGGACAGTGGCTGCTGTTGCCCTATGGCGCTACGGTGGTAGACGGCAGAGCAGCTACTGCTAAGTGGCACCAAGCTATCAGAAAAGCCAGAGCTAAGAGACATTTGGTGGAAATAAGAGGTCATACATTAGCTATGGTCCCATCTATCTCTAGAGCAGGCATCCTTGCCCTTTTGTTGGCCACAGCCCTTCTAGGAGCTCTTTTCACATTCCAGTGTCCCCTGTCAAATGAGGATACAACGTGAACATCTTTCAGTCTGTGACCCCCCTTCAAATGTGCCAAGGGCCCCCGGGGGTCCACGTGGCTCCTGTTGAGAATGGCTGCTCTAGAGAACGGGACTAAACTAATACGTTAGATGTGTTAATTAGCTTCTTGAGTGCCAGGATGTTTGGCACTCGAGAAGCTAATTAATAAGCATAATTAACAATGGCTATTCACTTGATGAATGGCCGTTTTTAATTATGGAATCATCACCATTAGGGGTTTTGTTTTGTTTTGTTGGCATTTGATTTCTTTTTGACTTCAGCAAACAATCTCACCTGTTCCCAAACTTTGTGCACTGAGTATATCCCTGAAATTTTGGAGAGGACTGTGTGCATCTGATGGAATGGGCTGCAATTTAGGAAAACTTCTGTCATCATCAATTTGTTGGTCTTTGAGGTGACACTGGTCTGTTTGTTTCAGGGTCAGCAAGACTACATAGCAAAGGGCTTGCGAGGGAGAAAACATCACATCAACTCCAAAGCACTCCTTTCGAACCTGTTACGTTACCAACATTCCAAGTGCTAGAGGTAGCCTTTACAGATGAAGGAACTCTTATCACTGTACCTGGAGCTACCTGCTACAATTTCACTAGGGTCTTAAAGACCTGGGTAGTTTCCAGTTAGTCCTTCTCTCTCTCAAGCACACCCAGAGTTCACAAATTAAGGAAGTTTTCTCTCCAGTGTTACAGCTCACTTTTGTTTTCAGTATTGTTTACTGCTCAGAATACCTCAGTTGCTAACAAGGAGATAAAACTTCCAGGAAGTTTTAAGAAAGAGAGTTAGTTGAAGCCATCTGTGCATACTGCTGTTTCCCACCCACAGAACTCAGGTCACATTGGTTCTGGTTCACATCCCACATTCTGAGCCAGCAGGGAGTGAGATGTTTATATAACAAGACTAGATGGTCACTGGCTGTGGGCCTTCTTGTGGACACTCAGGGACTGGGTGGCCTCTAGGAAATGGCCAGGGCCACCTTTAGCTATCAGCCAGATTTATCTAGTGCCGATGGGAAGAGTCTCTACTCGTAGACAAGTTGCCACTTATATTCCAAGATAAGCTACTTTGTCAGCCACATGTGTTGCTGACAGTGAAAGAGACATATACTTAAAGTGATTGTGACACATGGGAGGCATGAACTATTGGGGGCTTTAGTAGACCTCTGTCTTGCCAGGAATAGCCCACACACCCCTTGGGCCAAAGTTGCTCACAGTTATTGTTTGTATACTTGTGAAGGAGTAGGACAGAGTGTGCCGTCCTCAGAAGAAGAAAGCCCGAAGGAAGAGAGTGGTTGTGCAGAAGGGATTTTAGTGGAGATAGAACGCGAGGAAGAGCCACAAAGGAGACCGACGGAAGTGTGCCTGGTTGATGAGGGAGGAGCCGAACTGGACCTGATCATGTGGGAGGAGGTGAAAGGGGAAGGATCAAACGCGCGGGAGTTTAGTTGGCTAGGGGAAGGCGAGCTGGGCAGATGTATGAATAGGGGGGTACAGACTGACTGGCTGACAGACGTGAGGAGTCAAGCGGACTTGGCTCAAGGCTTTCCGAATGTAAAGAAAGAGGGAGGACTGTTGCCGGAGCCTTCTTTACCCAGCGGACGCGGTAGGGCATATGAGCCCTTAGAATGGAGGGTCTCAGTTTTCCCGGTGGGCTACCCTGGTGGGGGCCGGAGAGTTATCCGCCCGGGCCCAGAATTCCAACAGAAACCTCCAGAGGGGGATTGGGCCCGCCATCCCTGTTGTGGGACCATATGTGCCGTGCGGAGTGTGCCCCTAAGACCGTTGACGGACCGCGAACGATTCGGCCCGGCCCCTTGGTAGGGGAAGAGACAAACCCACCAGTTGTAAGGGCAAAAAGATATATCCTGTTAACAGATGAAGTGTTAAAGGATCCGTTTGATCTGGTGGAGTTAAGTGTGCATACAAATAAAGTTGTTGTTTCACAAGAAATGGATTCGCCTCCGCGCCTTTTCCCCGCCTTTACTACACAACCCCCCCCGGCCAAAGACGAACCTTGTCACAATACTCTTCACGAATGATAGTAAATCCTCACATTAAAAAGGTATGCTTGTACGCTTTGTTGATTTTCTATTACACCAGAACTTACAGGTTAAACAAAACAACAATTTCTTTTGTTTTTCGATAGCTAAACTGCTGCATTTATGATGTCACATGAAGATTATTAAAACAGATATTGCAAGGAAACCTCCACATTTGGGACCCTCCAGCTCTTGATTATGCACTCGCAATATTACCCATCACTAGCCCTACTTCTCTGAATTTCTCTTCAATGAACCAGATTTACTCTGTGATAAAGAGCAACTCCTTCAAATCCCTCCTAGGGTTGTCTTTTTATCTCTCCCTTCATTAACACAAGAAAATTAGTAAATGATCCTGTTTGTTATCTTGCAGATTTTTTCCCTAACATTACAAATAATTTTATTCCACAGAAGAATGAAATTAAACCATGACTGTTGAATTAGTAAAAGAGTAGTAAAAATCACAATATTTAGCATCAAAGCCATGTTGATAAAGCACACCTTATTCTCGTCTGAGTACATCAAAATGTCTCTATGCCTGTTTGACCACACCTGAAATGCAAAGATGTTTTAATGTACCGTCATATAACACTCCTAAACCAATAATTTTGGAAAGTCTGTTTCTGCAGCCACAGCCATTTAAAGTGCTGATTGGAGCATTTTGCTGCCTTTTATGTTTTGTTTCCAATCTAATGTTTTATCTGCACTGCTTTGGAAAGGAAACTGTTCCTGTCGATAAGGTAAACTACACATTCGAAGCCATTTTTCAAACTGCTGTGATCACAAAAACCATCTGCCTTTAGCTGGTTCTCCTAAAAGTCTTTCCACCTGATCATGCACCTAAGTATACACTGGAGAAAGAAAACAAGCTCTGTCTATATATGAGAACTGGTTCCAAAGCACAGATATATAGGAAGAACAATTTGGAACGCATACAGTTTGAGCCTCAGCAGGTTTACTCACAGGAAAGTTTACACGGATTAAATGGAAT